GGGTGTGGGTTGTAAGCGGTGAAGCTAAGGAAGAAGGTGATGTTCTTTGATTGAGTGTTGGGTACATCTGGGGGGTGTTACACTGTGGGAGGGACTGGACTTTTGGATGATGTAAAGGATAGGAAAGAGCTTTTTGAGACACGGAGGTCGAAAGCGGGTCGGTGGAGTTATTTCTACTATTCTGGTGCGAAGATCTACCTTGGAGTATAGTGTTTGTACTTGATGTAGATATTAAAACGTTGCTGCAGGCGTTGAATGGGTGGGATAGCATAAAAATGTGAACACCATCTCTTTTTGATCCTTTTCTTTTCTTTTCCGTTTTTTCTTTCTCTTGGGGGGGTTCCAATTTGCAGAGATACTTGTACAAGCCGAAGATGTTGCTTGCCAGGGATATTGAGCGTTGATGCCATTTTGGGCCCCAGATGTTGAACCATAGGAGGTTGTCAGTTGTCAACGAGTTACCAAGGACTAACTAGCTTCCTGGATAGTTGGGCCTGGTGCAGATAGTATTTTGTTCATGGTCTAGTAGTCTTACTCGTTGCCGGGCTCACGCTGACAGTTTTGGTCTTGCCCGTCTGCGAGCCGGTAAATGGTCCAGATTCAGAAGGCAAGGATATCCTGGCAGGGTTGGGTAAGTCCAGCTCTTTTCGGCTGCAGTTATCAGATCAAAAAGTGAACATGTTCGTATCTGTATGTTTCCACTGTCTGTCTCATATTGCTTACAGTTGTGACGGTTGTCATTGTCAACGTCTTGGAAGAGGCGCCGAGACGGGCAGTTGAGGCGTCCAGAGGTGGACTGTCCTTCCTCATCGAGTCTTCAAACAAACACAAGCCCAAGAAAGGCGTGCATAAATGCATTGGTGCCAAATGTGGAAGGCATGATAGTTTAACAGTGGTCAGCTTCAGGTTCGGCCCATGGCAGCCTCGATGAGGGACGTGCACTTGTGGGGTGACATTCGCCCCTGCAAAGCCACTCCACTTGTTCTTTTCTAGCTCCAGCTTGGCGGGAGTATGGCGCTAGCTGAAAGTTAGCCTTGCGGGAAGAGTGGAGAGGCCGGAGCTTTTAACATCGCATTGTGACATCACCACTGCCAATTGAGAACGA